AATGTCATATTCCTGGAGTAGACTTGTGATTAGCATATAGAGATAATACAGATGGGGCAAAATTGACATATCTAGATGAAGAGTAGATGAGTTCATTGTACTATTATTTAACTTTTCTGTATAATTAAAATTTTTCATCCCAAGAAAAGTAAAATAAAAAATCTAGGTATGGAGGGAACGTAAAGCTAAAAAGGAGAGAAAGAGAGAGAAAATATAGATATTTCTCTCCTATATACCTCTTATTAGAGTTTACTGAAAGAGATGTTTCAGGAAGAAATAAGAACAAGCAGAAAATGGAATGTGGTAAATTGGAACTCCACGTGAACTGTAGGGGTGGGGGAGATTTGAGAAAAAGTACTCTGCGTTCAGGCCTAGTAGTTCAACAGTCTAGACCGTGCAATAATCTGGTCCTGAAGGAGGTGGTCTCCATGGAGCACAAAAGAATATGAGAGATTGTCTGATACTTGGGAATATGTGGAAATAGTATTGCTATATTAGTGTAACTAATGGAACAATTGAAGTAAAACAATTCTAAACATACAGAAAAATAGGAAAACAATAAAGTGAATGAGCAATTATTAACTTTAGGAAAAACAAAAAAGATATGAAAATAAGGTAGAAATATTCTAAACTATTTGTCTCATTTGTGATTAATAATTGTTTATTACTCAGTAACAAGGAAAATTTAATGGAAAATTATGATGAAACTATATTTGGAAGACATATTTGGTGGAGTCTCTAATAAAGTTCTAAAGAACTATTGTAAAGAATTGAAAACCCAGTCAAGAGAAAGATGACTAACATTCATAAATCAAGAAGCATAAATTTAAACATATTATTTAACACAAAAATAAATACTAAAATACTACTAAAACAATAGATGAAAATGCTAAATGAGAACTGGAAGTTGGAGAGGGATAAGACAAATAGCTGTTGCTTTTTGGAAAAAAAAATCCTATGGCACTATTTTAAAACAATCTGTATGCAATATTTTATATACAAACATTATTTTTTTAAAAAATTCAATAGAAACAATTAGGAACTTCAAAGATCAAACTGAGGAACTGGTCCATACTTCAGAGCATAAATAAGATGAAATCGAAATCATTAACAGAAAAATACAAGAAAGGTACAAAAAAATAGAAGTAATTAAGATAAGACTCAGAAAAATTGCAAAATATCATTATATATGAGTAAATCAAATGAGGGAGTAATAAAGAAGTAACGTTTTTTAAAACATTCTTCTGTTGATGAAAAATAGTAGCTCTCAGATTCAATTCAGTTCAGTCACTCAATTGTGTCTGACTCTTTGCGATCCCATGGATTGCATCACGGCAGACCTCCCTGTCCATCACCAACTCCCAGAGCTTACACAAACTCATGTCGTATTGCCATCCAATCATCTCATCCTCTGTCGTCCCCTATTCCTCACACCTTCGATCTTTCCCAGCATAAAGGTTTTTCAAATGAGTCAGTTCTTCGCATCATGTGGCCAAAGTATTAGAGATTCAGCTTCAGCATCAATCTTTCCAATGAATATTCAGGACTGATTTCCTTTAGGATTGACAGGTTGGATCTCCTTGCAGTCCAAGGGACTCTCACGAGTCTTCTCCAACACCACAGTACAAATCCATCGATTCTCTGGTGCTCAGCTTTCTCTATAGTTCAACTCTCACAGCCATACATGACTACTGGAAAAACTATAGCTTTGACTAGATGTATATTTGTTAGCAAAGTAATGCCTCTGCTTTTTAATATGCTGTCTGATTTGGTCATAACTTTTCTTCCAAGGAGCAAGCGTCTTTTAATTTCATGGCTTCGGTTACCATCTGCAGTGATTTTGGAGCCCAAATAAATAAAGTCTGTCACTGCTTCCACTGTTTCCCCACCTTTTTGCCATGAAGTGATGGGACCAGATGCCATGATCTTAGTTTTCTGAATGTTGAGCCATTTTCTGAAGTTAAGCCAACTTTTTCACTCTCCTCTTTCTGTTTCATCAAGAGGCTGTTTACTTCTTCACTTTCTACCATAAGTGTAGTTTCATCTGCATATCTGAGGTTATTGATATTTCTCTGGGAAATCTTGACTCCAGCTTGTGCTTCATCCAGTCCAGCGTTTTTCATGATGTACTCTGCATATAAGTTAAATAAACAGGGTGACAATATACAGCTTTGATGTACTCCTTTCCTATTTGGAACCAGTCTGTTGGTCCATGTCAAGTTCTAACTGTTGCTTCCTGATCTGCATAGAGATTTCTCAGAAGTCAGGTGAGGTAGTTTGGAATTCCCATCTCTTGAAGAATTAATTTTCCACAGTCTGTTNAGGCTTTCTTATCTCTCCTTGCTATTCTTTGGAACTCTGCATTCAAATGGTCATATCTTTCCTTTTCTCCTTTGCTTTTCACTTCTCTTCTTTTCAGAGCTATTTGTAAGGCCTCATCAGATAGCCATTTTGCTTTTTTGCATTTCTTTTTCTTGGGGATGGTCTTGATCCCTGTCTCCTGTACTATGTCATGAACCTCCATCCGTAGTTCAACAGGCACTGTATCACATCTAATCCCTTGAATATATTTCTCACTCCCACTATATAATCATAAGGGATTTGATTGAGGTCATACCTGAATGGCCTAGTGGTTTTCCCTACTTTCTTCAATTTAAGTCTGAATTTGGCAATAAGGAGTTCATGACCTGAGCCACAGTCAGCTCCAGGTCTTGTTTTTGCTGACTGTATAGAGCTTCTGCATCTTCGGCTGCAAAGAATATAATCAGTCTGATTTCAATATTGAACATCTGGTGATGTCTATGGGTGGACTCATCTCTTGTGTTGTTGGAAGTGGGTGTTTGCTAAGACTAGTGCATTCTCTTGGCAAACTCTGTCAGCCTTTGCCCTGCTTCATTTTGTACTCCAAGGCCAAACTTGCATGTTACTCCAGGTAACTGGAGTACAGGTAATAGAGTACTCTCTTGACTTCCTACTTTTCCATTCCAGTCCCCTATGATGAGAAGGACATCTTTTTTGGGTGTTAGTTCTAGAAGATCTTGTAGGTCTTCATAGAAACATTCAAATTCAGCTTCTTCAGTTTTAGTGGTTGGAACATAGACTTGGATTACTGTGATATTGAATGATTTGCCTTGGGAACGAACAGAGATCATGGTCATTTTTGAGACTGCACCCAAGTACTACATTTTGGACTCTTGTTGACTATGATGGCTACTCCATTTCTTCTAAGAGATTCTTGCCCACAGTAGTAGATATAATGGTCATCTGAATTAAATTCACCCATTCCAGTCCACTTTAGTTCACTGATTCCTAAAATGTCAATGTTCACTCTTGCCATCTCCTGTTTGACCACTTCCAATTCTAGTTTTGGTAGTTCCAAAACTACTACATGGCCCAGCATTCCCACTACTGGGCATATACTCTAAGGAAATGGAATTGAAGCAGACACATGTACCCCAGTGTTTCTTGCAATGCTACTTATAACGGGAAATGGAAGCAACCTAGATGTCTGTTGGTATATGAATGGATAAGGAAGTTGTGGTACATATACACAATGGACTATTACTCAGCTATAAAAAGGAACATCATCTGAGTCCGTTCTAATGAGGTGGATAAACCTAGAGACTATTATATAGACTGTCAGAAAGAGAAAGACAGCTATCATATATTAATGCATATATATGGAATCTTGAAAACTGCTACTGATGATGCTATGTGCAGGGCAGCAAAGGAGACACAGGTATAAAGACAGACATTTGGACCCAGTGGGGGAGGAGAGGATGGGATGATTTGGGAGAAAAGCATTGAAACCTATACATTACCATATGTAAAATAGATAGCCAGTGCGAGTTTGATGTATGACACAGGGAACCCAGAGTAAGCATTCTTTGACAACCTGGCAGGATGGCAGGGGGAGGGAGTGTGAGGGGTTCAGGAGGGAGGGGACATGTGTATGCCTATGGCCAATTCATGCTGATGAATTCACATCACAATATTGTAAAGTAATTATCCTCCGATTAAAATAAATAAAATTGAAAAACTAATGTATCTACATAAATGCTGGGGTGAAGGAGACTTATAGCTCTAGCCTGGTTTCAAGGAGACATACTTCTAACCTCAAAAAGCTAGCCAGCTAGGTTGAAACCAAGGTCCACAAGTATGACTGAAGGGGAAACCAGGTCTTGATTAAACTGGTTTTCAGATTAAATGAACTCAAAAATCTTAGTCAAAATTAATGTGGAAAGATGCACATATTTTGGGTTAAATTTCTGAGCACAATAAGGAGAGATTTGCAAGCCTCCAGACTGAAACAGAGTTATAGAATTCGTAGGGTGGGATGGAAGTAGATTCCAAAGAAAGCGTTGTACCACAAAGATCCAGAGAAGACAAAATAAGGTTTCCTTAGAAGTTGAGAGTAATCGAGATGGATGGCAAAAGTTTAAAATATAGTCAGTGACCACAAAGGAAAACAAAACTGAGTCACTAAAAGAACAACGTACAACTGGAATATATACGTTGTATACATTATACATTCTTTCCTTTTCTCCCTTCATTTTTTTTAAACAATAATTTCTATACTTTCTTTACTAAAAGTTGAAGAATTCAGATTTCAGATTCAGTGCTAACTATTATTGGGGGAAGAAATTAATTCCAGTAGCATTGTAACAAATAAACTATGTCACCATTAGGTTATCATAACTATTCATATTCTCTCATAATGTTTAACAAAATATTATGATTTTTTTCATTTTTCTCAATAAAAATTCTAAATAAATCCTAGAGTAGGCATTGCTGCTTCAATGATATGCTGTTTGATTATTATATATTAAAATTTGGACCAAGAAATATTACTCAACATTGCATACAAATTGTTTATCTAGTAAAATATGATGTAAAGTGACTAAATAAACATAAAAGCTAAGTTAAGGTCTCATTAATGAAAAGCAGTTTAATCAGTTACTCAAACTGTTTGCTAATATATCTTTCTACCATTTTTGCCTCAGGGTTATGATGATGGCTATGGGGGTGAATATGATGATGAGACCTATGAGGCTTATGACAATAGCTATGCCATCCAAGCTCAAAGGTAAGGTATACGTTGTCTAAAGCATCCTTCTTGGGATTATTTCTAATCTTGCTATTTTGTTTCTTGTATCTGAATATTAGTTACATTTTGTGAAAGTTTCTAGCAGTGGATTTAATTTATTGTCCTTCTGAATTATCAAATTGCTTACTAGACTGTGAGAAATAAAAGATAATGATCTTGCAATTGGTAATAATGAAATAGTAGTGTGCAATTTTAAGACTAGGTGATTACCATAACTAATCAACTCATTATGTGAGTTTGTATTTAAAAAATACTGGTAGTGTTATAGTTTTNGATAATGATCTTGCAATTGGTAATAATGAAATAGTAGTGTGCAATTTTAAGACTAGGTGATTACCATAACTAATCAACTCATTATGTGAGTTTGTATTTAAAAAATACTGGTAGTGTTATAGTGGTTTTTGTTTTTTTTTAGTGAATTCATAATTAAGACAATAATAAAAAACAAATCTCTTGTTTAGTGGGGCTATATTGCCAGAAATTTAATTTTGATTTTTAAGACAAAAGATAGGAAAATATTGGTGCTCTTAAAAGAGAAAAATTCTTAAAACATCTTATGGAATCAAGAATTTATTTCTTTCAACTGATTTTAAAATTTCCAACAAACAAATGTCTAAGACCAGATAGCTTCACAAACAAACTCTAAAAAACATTTAGAAGAGAACTAACACCTGTCCTTCTGAAATCATTCCAAAAGTCTCAGAGAAAGGAAAACTCCCAAACTCATTCTAGGAGGCCACTAGTACCCTGATACCAATACCAGAGAAAGATACCACAAAAAAGGACATTACTGGCCAATATCACTGATGAAAATAAATGGAAAAATCCTGTACAAAATACTAGCAAATTCCATTAAAGCATCATACACCATGATCATGTGGTATTTATCCCAGGGATGCAAGGATTTTTCAATATCAGTAAATCAATGTGTGATATATCACATCAACAAGTTGGAGAATATATACCATATGATCATTTCAATGGATACAGAAAAAGCTTTTTAAAAAATTCGACACTCAGTTATGATAATAACTCTCCAGAAAGTGGGCATAGAAGGAGCATAACTCAACATAGGAGAGGCCATATATGACTAACCTACAGCTAACATCATACTCAATGGTGAAAAACTGAAAGCATTTTCTCTAAGATCGGTAATAAGACAAGGATTTCCACTCTTGTACTTTTATTTAACATAGGTTTGGAAGTATTAGATTTGGAAATCAGAGAAAAAGAAAAGAAATAAAGGGAACACAAATTGGGGGGAAAAAAGTGAAACTGTCATTGTTGGTATACCACATGATACTATATATAGAAAATCCTAAAGATGCCACCAGATAGCTCAGTTCAGTTCAGTTCAGTCACTCAGTTGTGTCTGATGTTTTGCGACTCCACGGACTTCAGCACACCAGGCTTCCCTGTCCGTCACCAACTACTGGAACTTACTCAAACTCATGTCCATTGAGTCAGTGATGCCATCCAGTCATCTCATCCTCTGCTGTCCCCTTCTCTTCCTACCTTTAATCTTTCCCAGCATCAGGGTCTTTTCAAATGAGTCAGTTCTTTGCACCAGGTGGCCAAAGTTTCGGAGTTTCAGCTTCAGCATCAGTCCTTCCAATTAATATTCAGGACTGATTTCCTTTAGGATTAACAGGTTAGTTCTCCTTGCAATCCAAGGGACATGCAAGAGTCTTCTCCAACACCACAGTTCAAAAGCATCAATTCTTCAGTGCTCAGCTTTCTTCATAGACCAACTCTCATATCCATACATGACTACTGGAAAAACCATAGCTTAGATTAGATGGACTTTTGTTGGTAAAGTAATGTCTATGTTTTTTAATATACTGTCTAGGTTGGTCATAGCTTTTCTTCCAAGGATCAAGTGTCTTTTAATTTCATGGCTGCAGCCACCATCTACAGTGATTTTGGAGCCCCCCAAAATAAAGTCTGTCACTGTTTCGAATGTTTCCCCACCTATTTTCCATGAAGTAATTGGACCAGATGCCATGATCTTAGTTTTCTGAATGTTGAGTTTTAAGCCAACTTTTTCACTCTTCTCTACCACTTGTATCAAGAGGTTCTTTAGTTCTTTGTTTTCTGCCGTAAGGGTAGTGTCATCTGCTAATCAATGAATTTGGCTAATCAGTGTTTCAAGATGCAAAATTAACACACAGAAGTCTATTGCCTTTCTACACACTAGCAAAGATCAGAAAAAAGAAACCAAGGAAACAATCCAATTGCTGCAAAAAATAAATGAATTAAATAACCTATCTAGGGAGGCAAAATACATTTACTCTGAAAGCTGCAAGAGACTATAAGAAAACTATAAGAAAGAAAGTATGAAAGGAGGAAAGAAAAAATGATTACACAAATGGATGGAGTAAAGATATAACATGTTCTTGGACTAGAAGAATCAATATTTTCAAAATGACAATACTACCTATGGGAATCTACAGATTCAGTGCAATTGCTCTCAAATTTCCAATGCCATTTTTCACAGAACTAGAATTTTTTAAAGTCTTAAAATTTCTGTGGAGATGCAGAAGACCTCAATTAGTTAAAGAAATCTCCAAACAGAAATGGAGCTGGAGAAATCAGGCTGCCTGACCTCAGACTATACTACAAAGCTACAGTCATCAAAAGAGTATGATACTGGCACAATAACAGAAATAAAGATCAATAAAACAGGATGGAAAGCCCAGAAATAAACTCACAAACCTATAGTCAATTAATCTATGATAAAGGAGGCAAGAATATATAATGGAGAAAAGACAGTCTCTTCAATTAGTGGTGCCGAGGAAACTGAACAACTACATGAAAAAGAAGGAAATTAGAAAAAAAATTAATGTCATACACAAAAATAAACTCAAAATGGATCAAAGATCTAAATGTAAGACCTGATATTATAAAAATGTTAGAGGAAAATATAGGTAGAATACTATTTGACGTAAATCATAACAATGTACTTTTTCCCCTCTGTCTCTTAGAGTAAGGGACATAAAAATGAAAATAAACAAGTGGGATCTAGCCAAACTCAAAATCTTTTGCACAGAAAAAGAAACCTAAACAAAGTAAAAGACAACCCACAAAATGGCTGAAAATATTTGCAAACTATGTGACCAGCAAGGGATTAATCTCCAAAATTTACAAACAGGTCACACAGCTCAGTATCATAAAAGAAGCAATCAAAAATGGGCAGAAGACCCTCTTAAACAGACATTTCTCTGAAGAAGACATACAGATGGCCAACAGGTGAATGAAAAGGTGTTCAACATCACTAATGATTAGAGAAATGCAAATCAAAACCACAAGGAGGTATCACCTCACATCAGTCAGAATGGCCATTATCAAAAAACTCTGTCAACTATAAATGCTGGAGAGGATATGGAGAAAAGGGAGTCCTCCCACACAATTGGTGGGAATGTAAATTGGTGAAACCACTATTGAGACTAATAAGAAACTAAAACAGCTACCATATGATCTAGCAATCCCACTCCTGGGCTTATATCCAGAGAAAAACATGATTTGAATGGATACATGCATTCCAATGCTTATTGCAATAGCCAAGACATGGAAGCAACATGAATGCCCATTGACAGAAGAATAGATAAATAATAGGGTAGTGTCATCTGCTAATCAATGAATTTGGCTAATCAGTGTTTCAAGATGCAAAATTAACACACAGAAGTCTATTGCCTTTCTACACACTAGCAAAGATCAGAAAAAAGAAACCAAGGAAACAATCCAATTGCTGCAAAAAATAAATTAATTAAAAAACCTATCTAGGGAGGCAAAATGCATTTACTCTGAAAGCTACAAGAGACTATAAGAAAACTATAAGAAAGAAAGGATGAAAGGAAGAAAGAAAGAAATGATTACACAAATGGATGGAGTAAAGATATACCATGTTCTTGGACTAGAAGAATCAATATTTTCAAATGACTATATTACCTATGGGAATCTATAGATTCAGCGCAATTGTTCTCAAATTACCAACGCCATTTTTCACAGAACTAGAATTTTTTAAAGTCTTAAAATTTCTGTGGAGATGCAGAAGACCTCAATTAGTTAAAGAAATCTCCAAACAAAAATGGAGCTGGAGAAATCAGGCTGCCTGTCCTCAGACTATACTACAAAGCTACAGTCATCAAAAGAGTATGATACTGGCACAATAACAGAAATAAAGATCAATAAAACAGGATAGAAAGCCCAGAAATAAACTCACAAACCTATGGTCAATTAATCTATGATAAAGGAGGCGAGAATATATAATGGAGAAAAAACAGTCTCTTCAATTAGTGGTGCCAAGGAAACTGAACAACTACATGAAAATGAAGGAAATTAGAAAAAAAAATTTAATGTCATACACAAAAATAAACTCAAAATGGATCAAAGATCTAAATGTAAGTCCTGATAATATAAAAAATATTAGAGGAAAATATAGGTAGAATACTATTTGACAGAAATCATAACAATGTACTTTCCCCTCTGTCTCTTAGAGTAAGGGACATAAAAATGAAAATAAACAAATGGGATCTAACCAAACTCAAAATCTTTTGCACAGAAAAAGAAACCTAAACAAAGTAAAAGACAACCCACAAAATGGCTGAAAATATTTGCAAACTATGTGACCAGCAAGGGATTAATCTCCAAAATTTACAAATGGGTCACACAGCTCAGTATCATAAAAGCAGCAATCCAAAATGTGCAGAAGACCCTCTTAAACAGACATTTCTCTGAAGAAGACATACAGATGGCCAACAGGTGAATGAAAAGGTGTTCAACATCACTAATGATTAGAGAAATGCAAATCAAAACCACAAGGAGGTATCACCTCACATCAGTCAGAATGGCCATTATCAAAAAACTCTGTCAACTATAAATGCTGGAGAGGATATGGAGAAAAGGGAGTCCTCCCACACAATTGGTGGGAATGTAAATTGGTGAAACCACTATTGAGACTAATAAGAAACTAAAACAGC